AATAAAAAAGACTTATTTAAGTAGTAACAGTGGTTAATTAGAAATAAATATAAAATTTAATTAATTAATTATTATATTCCTATTTTATTAGATAAGAAAACGAAGCCTACTAATCCATTATCCCAAAATAATTAAGGTTTTTTATATTAAAAAAGTCTTAAAAATGAGTCTCATTTTAAAATTATTTTAATAGATTATTTTCTAGTGTAGATTACGCTAAAAAATAATTAGTTGCTGGTAAAAAAAAAAAAATAATTAGTTGAAAAAAACTAAGTTGTGAATTTCAAAGTCGTTAGATAAAATTATAATTAATATAACATTGGCACTTAGTAAGAGTGTTTTTTTCTAATCTTTACTCTTTATGTGATGATTTTGAATTCATTATTATATTATTTTTTTGGCGGTAATGTACACTAACATTTAATGTGAGATTATATGCACAATAATACTATTAGTGTTTTTGCTTTTTAAGTTAATAAATTAATAGTTCATGCTGCATAATATGTATATCTTTGGTTAATTAGTATTTTCCAACTTGTTTATGTGTTACTGTTAGTATCTAACCTTGTAGTAGATTTTTATTTTCAAATGTTCCTGAAATTTTATTCTCTATGCTGTAAGAAAAGCAAACTGGTCTGGTTATTTATATTATTCGTCCTCTGTTGGAATCTATTGCATTTCAGTAGACTTCCTTTTCGTTTAATTTTTTTGGCCATCTAGTAGACTTCCTTTTCAATCATACAAAAGCAATAGCAATTAGTAATGCATTAGCTTTGATCAAATGAGAAAGAGATTGGATTAAAATATAGAGGTAAAAAGAAAAAAGAAAAGAAAAAGAAAAGAAATGGAACTCTGAATGTAGAAGAAATAGAATTTTGTAAGCCAAACTTTGCTATTTCACCGCTTCTAGTCTTGGTAATGTAGAAAATAGAACCTAAATCAAAGACAAAGATTAGCGGAATTATTCAATGTGGAGGAGCCTCTCAAGCTTTTTACCCATCATATCCATGGTTCTCTTTTCATTTTCTTGTATACAAAATGATTCCCTGAATACACTTCGTCTGTAGTATCATCCCATGTGCTCTCCACATTGCATCTTTTCTTGAAAATCAAAAGCAAAAAAGTAGTGAAATGACTAAAGTTTGTCATCATTATAGCTGCTTTCCTGTGGAAAGCATATTATACATTTATTATACTCTCTCTGTCTTTAGACCACTTGCCCAGTTGTTGAAAGGATTGCGCCATTCTGTTTTCTTCGTTGTTTGGACCCTTTAACCATCATCTTTACAAAAACAAAAATTAGGTATTTGTGAACTCTAATGTTCTCATTTGTTAAAACAAAAATTAATGACTTCTTCGGCAATATACATATGATTTGGACCCTTAAACTATCATTTTTGAACAACAAAAGTTAGATATAGGTGAGCGCTTAAAGCTCTTATCTTTAAAAACAAAAACTAGTGATTGTTTAAGCGGAAAATATATACACAATGTGGACCTCTTTATTTATTTCTTTTTTATGGTGTGATGTGGACCCTTAAAATGTCATTTTTAGAAAACAAAATTAGGTATATCTTAACCCTTAAAGCTCTCATTTTTTTTTTTAACATCTTAAAGCTCTCATTTTTTAAAACAAAAAAATGAGTGATTTTCACAAATAGAGTACGGGGCTGATTCGTCATTTCAGTCAGACAAAAAATTACTGATTTTTCTATGGAAAGTAGATAGCAATGCTGGGGGGTGTGGAGCCCTAAGCTCTCACTTCTAGAAAAGGCCAACTAGAAATTAATGATATTTTTTCTGTGAAAAAGCAAGTATGAACCAAATAAACCAATGAAAAAATTAATAATAAAAATTGGCTGGCAGAATCAAAATTTCATGATCGCTTCTCCACGCAAAATTTATTTATTTGTACTCTCTTAATAAGTAAAGAT